AATTTAAAAAAGACTCAAATCTCCTGCAATGTTGTAAAAATGTAAAAAAAATAAAAAAATACTGACAATATACAGTAATATCAGTATTTGAAGGTCTGACCCATCTTCTCAAGACTATACTTCTTCACTTATGCCAAGAACTGATCCTCCTCTAGTCGACATGTCTGCTCCAGACTGATAAAAAGCTTTAATATCCCCCCCGAGAGGTCAGAATGCTTTGTCACCTTAACAAAAACTTAGAAAAACACTCAACCCTGCTCAGAAACACCATGTGTTCTCCACCGGATTTAGAGTTCCCACTATTTGACCTTCACGTGCCTCATCTGCAGGTTTTTGTCTCCCAGTCCTGGCTTTGTTACAAAATGAAAAATATCGTACATCATCTAAACCGTGTATTAACAATATTTCAGTCTTTTTAAAGATATTAATGAGCACATGCACAGACCACAAAGCTCCAGACAACAGAAATGACTGACCTGACTAACAGCTTCATAAACTCACATTCAAGTGACCTGTTCACACAATGCAATACAATGAGGTGAAGTTCTAAATTTTGGAAGATTTTCATACGATCAAACATTTTTTTAATAATAACACATTATTTTTATTCTGCTATAAACTATTTTTACACTGCGTTGCCCCTTTTTTTTCTTTGCAGTGGTGGAGTCTGCTAAATGATGAGAAGATATACAAAAGATTTATGACAATCAACACATGTTGAACTAAAGACTGAAATTATGCACAGCAACAGGGCAGTTGCATTCATTTTCATGTTGTATTCTTTTGTATTTACGTCAACTTAGCCATGTTTATGATAGTGGATTTTCTGCCTTTATTTTAAAGACGATAAGACAGCGTCACCAAATCAACTAAAGCTTTCACCAATAGTAAAACTGTAGTTTGTATGTTCATGTTGTATGTGCTTCACCAGTTCAGTACATCTGAAAAGTAGTAACAGTCTATAATTTGAAAAAAGTAATTGAAGCAGAGCCTCACATAGACATCTGTTCTCCCACCTAAACTTAAATCATCTGAATCCTCTGTAAATCATAAAGACTAAATACAGAAAATGACTTGAGACCACTGCTCCTGAGATATATGATTTCTGAGATTTGACAAATGTAGTTCAGCCTCGGGCCTCCCTTCTTTCACAACTTGAGAACAAAAAACACCTGGCAAAGAGTACAAGAACAAAACAAGGGAGACTCGTGTCCTCGCTGCAATCGTCAAATAAATGTGTCTGCATGTAAGAAAGTCTAAGTGTGAAGGCTTCCAACGTTTGAAACGTGTGTTTCCACCTGTCCACATGTGCATCGTGACCCTCCTCGTCAGTGAACATGCCCCTAGCATTGTTTTATGACTGGAGCTCGACTGGCTCCGAGCCTCCCAACACCTGTACAATAAATCACCAGCCCACTCCTGTAGGTGTTGCTTAACCCAACCTGGGTTTACTGATGCTGAACACAAAACCGCCTGCGGTGGAGGCCTGAGAAGGGGGAGGGGCAGCACAGGTTGACTCATCTTCCACATGGTCAGGTGGCCTTGTGTTACAGGTGCTTGGTAGCGAAGGAAACAGCCATAAAACAAGTTCTTTGGGACCACAAAAGTTGTCTAGAAGAGTAATTAACGCTCTTTTGGTTCATGTAACAAATCTTCAAAAAGCACAGTTCAGTTCATACCGTCAGTTTTTGTTTGTTTGTTTTTGTGGGAGAGATAACCAAAATGTTCCCACACTACTAACGTTAGTGTTATCTTCTCCTAATCCCAGGACTATCATCCGTTTTGAGCTGTTTACACCAACCTAATTTATACCGCTGGTCTGGTTATGATTGGAACAAAATTGTCACATTTCACATAAGGCAGGACACCTGATATTTGCCAATGAGGTTATGTTTTCACCCTTGTCCGTTTGTCTGTTGTTTGTATGCAAGGTTACACAAAGCAACTGAGCAGATTTCCATAAAACTTGGTGGAAGGATGTGAGTCAGGAAAGAACCCATGAACTTTGGTGGGTATTGGAATCAGGGTGCGGATCCAGGCTTTTTTTTTTTTTTTTACATTGTGAGTTAGGGCGCTTTTCGAAAGGGAATAATTCAAAGATTTACTTCTTTTTTTTTTTCTAAATCAGACATATATGGGACTGACATCTGTGAGTGGGTGCACTTTGGCACAGCTTAATTGAATCTAAGGAGACTGTTGGGCCTTGGTGGAGATATGCTCTCTACATAGAGCCATTCTAGCTTCAATAAGAACAAAGGATTTAATGTATCAAAATTTGTTTATTTACATTAGTGAAGTAATAAGAGCTAAACAGACTCCAGTCATGGCAAGAAGTCCTCTTACGTGATATGAGTTTGTGGATGTTTGCGTTGTGGTTTCAGCTTCGGTTTCAAAATCGTTACACCCCAATGAAAAACACAATAACAGAAACTTCCAGAACAATGGTTATTCTGTGAATAGTGACTGAAGTAGCAAAAGCAGCTTGAAGGAGAGTGAAAACTAAATAAATTAAGCCACAGAGTTTTCTTTTTGAAACAAAGGCATTCTTGTGATTGGATCCCAACAACCACAACATCTGCCAACATGTTCTGACCCATGAGTACTCAGTGGTCTTTATGACTAGATGAGTTCTCTGCACTCGTGGGTCAGACCACACCCGTCTTCAAACTCAGCATTCATTTTGATCTCAGCGGCACAGCTGTACAGTTTTGTGACTTACTTGCAGTTGTGACACTGCCGTGGTGACAAAATCTGTACACAGAATATAAACACCTGCCAATGTCACTCAAAACCTCCTCCAGGGAAGTTTCTGTTGCAGTAGCTAGCTCTCCAGGACCACGGTTTTCCTCAATGACGCACACAGTCCAACAAGGTGAAAACAATACCAGCCAAACTGCCACAGCTCAAAATAGTCAATTAATTTGCAGCATTAAAAAAATTATAAACAGTATTATTCTTTGTGCTGTTGGATTGCTTCATATGTTGTATTTTTTTAAACAGGTATTAAACATCTTCTGGTTTAAAATGTGATTACAGCTCCTGGGATGTGAACCAGCTGCAGTTTCCATATGAACAAAATAAATATGTGACATGCAGAGGAAAAAGTGATGAGAACACAAAATCTAACAGCACAAACATGGTTTGCGATGGTGATATGAGTTCATGAAACCCATTCTCAGTAATCAGAGTCCAATCACAGCGAGATGCCAAAGTGTCAACACTGCTCCACACTTAGTTTGTCTTCTCTGACGGTTAGTGCCTTGTTTGTGTAGATTCCCCCCACTTTCTGCTGAGGCCGCTCTGACTTGTGGCAGAGAGCGGATTTCCAAGAACAAAAAAATGTTTCTGAAAGTCCCTCTTTCCAGAGCCAAGCATTAATGCAAACCCTTTGACTCTATAGACGGCAGAATGGAGGAGGTGAAACCAGCTCAGGCAGATGGTGATACTTCTCTCTTCATCATCATCCATGCAGGAGATGTCTGATCATAACATAAATTTAAAAAACATGATTGTATCAACTCCTCTCCGGAGGAGAGTATCTGTATCTGTAATAATCCCCATTTATAGCGACACACCTGAAAATGTATGTCACATTCAAGTATTCTGTTTCCTCTGCAGCAGGTTACTGACACAGAAAATACTACAAATGGGAAGCAGCAACGGTTCATTTATGCCCATCCAGAATGCAATGCAACCGTTTCAAACTAAAACAGGGCAAGCAGCATTTCTCTCAGTTTTAGATGCTCAAAAACTCCAAAATAGTGTGGACAGCAGACGTAACCATAGCAACAGTTATGCAATTTACAACTAGTAACTTCAAGGGGCAGCTAGAAATTAAAATGATTGTGCAGTATATTTTACATCTGAATTAGCCTAAATGAATCCTAGTCAGCCACAAGAATATGTTTTATTGTGAAAATCTATTACACAACTCAGCAGCTCAAATAACTCATTACAAACAGTTAGCTAGCTAGAACATAAGAAATAGATCACAAAGACATACAGTGAATAAGCCAGTGGTGAATACATTCTCAGTGAATATTCTGCTTGAAGAAAGTACCAAAAAGGTTTTTGAGAGCTACAAACTGAGCACATCTGCGCTGAGGAATCACATAATCGGCTGCAGGAGCACAGGTGCTGCAACAATTGATGGGTACTTTTCCAAGAACACAACTTGGCCACTAAAACAGGACAGGAAGGCCATAACCCAAACCTGAGAAGTATGTAGCACGCACAGATCATGTGACATGTATTAACAGGTTTTGATTTGATTTGGAAAAAATTGTGGGTAATGGGTCGGGGCTTTCCTGGTGCGGGCTTCCAAAAATGGACCCGTGCAGGACTCTGATTTGCATTAATAATCAACACATAGAACAGTCATTTGTTGATAAATGTATTTCATGCTCACATGAACCATAATCAACTTTAAAGGTTCAACTTTAAAGTAGTTCATTCCATGCTTGTCAATTTCCTGGACCATAAGTAGACACAAAAATAGAGACGTGTCAGAAATCAGACGTCAGAAAAGCAAATGTAAGATTTACATATTACAGTACAACAGACAAATAAGGTGTAAGCCATCTATAGTAAAATAAAAGCTGATTTATTTTTTTTTTCAGTGCATTTGGTAGGAAACAGTTTGTCCTCTTTGAGCCTGATCTTCTGGCAGCTGGCAGACACACCGCTCTACTAGTTTGTCATGTCAGTTTGGATCAGATGAAGGATGGCAGAATTAATCCCTGACAGACAATGAGCTGACTGCAGTCTAACGTCAGCAGCAGCATCACTGAGCTAACTCCATGTTAGCTGCCACATGTTTTCTCATGTTCAGCAGCTCCTCTTTATACCTCCACAGCCAGGAGGAGGACGGGGAGCGGAAGTGACGCTTAAAGTGGATTAACCGCCCATGAATGGGATTGATATTATGGTTCTACACATTATATGAAGGAAAATATCCACCATGACATTACAGTTCTGTTTTGTTCTGTTTAGTTACTCACAGTTGGATGAAGCATTGCGGTTGTTCAGGTGGTCCTCAGGTTTAACAGGCTGCTGACAGTTCACTGTGGTGATGTAAACTTTACTCCAGAATGAAAAGTCCTTTTAAATCCATTTAAATCCCTGGAGAAAATACTGCAGCCAACAAAACTGTGATCGTAACCAAACAAAGTAATCCAAAATGGCGGGCGGATGAACACGTCCTCCTCAGGTCCTCATTCAGCACACCTGCTGTGATTAGGCTGCTGTCACGTGGGCCAGGTGATGTTGTGCACCTGGTTGTTCACCAACATCGCCACTAGGGGCTGCTGCAGTGTTTACACAGGAAAACTGACAGAGGAAATTCTTATTAGGAAAATCTTATTAGCAGACTGGACTATCAGGGTAAGGGTTTTCTATTGAAGAAAGTAAAGTTGTTATTGAACAAGAATGAGATGAAAGTCAAAATTTAATGAGAAAAAAGATATCACAAGAATAAAGTGTATACGTACTGTTGTATGTATACTGTTGTATACTGTTGTATGTGACTTGTGTTTACCGGTGCCACAGCATCATCCCAGATATTTAACAGTTTTTGCCTCAAACCGCAGGAGAACAGTCTTAATCCACTTACAGCCATTTCCCAGAAGTCCCAATTCTCCCATGAAGCCATCAAGCCTCATTTCAGCCAGGTCACTTCACACACAGAGGTGTGAGGAGCTGACTGCTACAGTCACACACAGGTTGATAAAAATTCGCTCAGTCATCAGGGTGAAGATGCACAGTCCCAGTGTGTTTTCCAGTTTATAACAGGTACTTCATGATTTTTTGTTTCTGACCACTGTGCATGTCTCTAAATCTACAATCAGACCTGTTTACCAAAAAATCAACACATATTTAAAGTTTCCTGACACTGTTTAAAATTTCATATCTGCCGGATATACAAGATATACACATGAATTTTTTTTTTTTTGATAGCTCTATAGTGCTTCTTCTTATCTCAGTGCTCCTTTTTCACAAGTACCCTCATGTTGTGGTTAGTTTGAGGGTATTGCGTGGTTAAATTAATAATCTTTATCTCATCAAAAAACTGTGCCTTTGAAATTTTTAACAGCCCCTCAATCACTTCCATTTGACACCAGGTATGTGACTGTGCCCTTTAGATTAACCTCCAACCAGAATTTGTCATATATTTATAGCTTCCTTTTACTCATCAGCAGATATAAGTCAGTGATATGAAAATGAGGTTTAAGTTGCTTTTTTATGTTCCTGCTTTGTCACTATTTGTCATGATGACCTCATCTCTGACTTTCCATATTGAAACACCATCAGGAGAATCATAACTTGAAGGCGTCAACTTCATCAGAGGAGAAAATCTTGAGGATGTGCCAACGGGAACAGTTTTATTCAGACTTTGAGAAAACCTACAAGGCGTTTCTGTATTGAAAATGTCAGCCGTCGACCCATGGCATTACATGTCATTCCTAGCAATGCCACTGGGGCAACAATTTTATTGCCACAATAAGCCACTTTTCTTTTTTAAGATAAGAACTTTAATGCAGTTAAGTTTCTCTTTGTACCATCATGTCTGCTCAGCAACTCCAGTGTTATGTCACAACACTGTTAAAAACTGAATCAGGACCATATATCAAAATCCCAACCCTGTTGAATTAATCATGATTTGCCCAGATGCTTTTCACTATGCCTCTGGGGTAGAAATGTACAAATCCTGGAGGCTTAATGCTTCCCAAGGGTCTTTTAAAACTTTGTTAACCACAATGGTATTTCATCATCAAACCAAACTTTACATTTCCAAACCTCTGCCAGCACCGTGAAGCACTTACTCATTACTTTTCTAAACTGCAGAGCAGCATTGTTCCATGATGTTACCATGACAGAGCTGATTTACCACACATAGAGTAACACTGTTCACATACCTCTGTCCACTCTCTGTCCGTGTGAAGGGCAAGATATTTGATGACGGGTTGGTTTAATTCCTGGATAGAAGTCAAATTCTTCTATCAGGGTCTGATACAGTATCTGCAGCCTCCACGTTCCTCATGCAGTGACCTCATCCTCATACACTGTAGGAAAAAAGACACAATGTGCCCTCTAACAACCTCTCCACCGTTTAATACCTTTACGTCAAGTATGATAAACACAGCTTATTGTCCACAGTGGCTAATGTGAGTAAATGTAATAAATTATAAATACATTTTTAACATATTCAGCCATTGAGAATGAAGGATAATGTTACTGAAATAGGACACCATATCTGCTCTTATTTCATCTAATCATGTTTCTGCCAGTTTCATTTTAAGTTAGTGTCTCATGCTGTGGGTGGTGCAGTGAGCCCTGCGGAATCTGTAGCAGAAATCAAACCAATGTCAAGACTGAGCGTGAGCCTGACCTTTACCCGAAGCTTACAAAGGCTAGTTATTAAAATGACAGGTGGTGTCACTTTTTACACTTCCTTTGAGGTAAGGCCTCTAACTACTATCATGTAAAGAAAGTGTACCGAGGGGGAGGAAAAAACTTTTACAAGCGTGTTGCATAATGTTGAGCTTCAAGGGGCACCCCTATCCCTCACCATCCGTTCACAAGTGAAACAGAGAATTCACACCGACGTGCTTTGTTTCATCCCACTGACACAGCAGCTGTCGAGGAGCTGCAGCGCAACCTCTGCATGCCCAAATATTCTGTGATTGTGATGTGGTACTGCCAAGCTCTAAAAGTATGCATAATACTGTATTGGCAGATGAGAAACACAGATAGAAGAGGGGCATGAAAACACTGTTCAAATGTTTTAGACCACAAAAAGAATAGATTTTACCTTATATGGCTCATTGAAGTTCTGCTCTGAATTATTGAAAACAGCACATTTTTTTCCACTACGATTCCAAGAACCGGAGTAACAGTTAAGATCCATCGTTTTTGAACTTGAAAAACCCCAAGGCATTCCTTCACAAATCATAAGGAGTAATTATCTTAAGATGAGCAATAAAACTGTTGAGCAAAAATAAAAACAAGAAGAGGAACCTGTCTTCAGCACGTGCAAACTTTATATAATAAATTATTTAATGTAACCACTTGTAAATTGTTTCCATCCGTTGTCAGTCATTTTGAAAACAGTTACAGTAAACATATGAGTGATCTTCAATGAAACTCCAGCTTTTTGCTGCCATATCAAAAGTCAGGGAAATTAACTTCTTTATGATGATCTGAGAATCTATTATCACGGATGTTAAAATTCTCACAGAACATTGATATGTGTAAGCTAGGACAGGAAGTCAGGGTTTGGTATTGATCGGCTATAAATGGTTGCAATCTTAAAAGGTTGGGAATGTGTTTTTCCCCCAAGACACCCAAGTCAGTCTCTTTAACAAGTCTGTGATAAATGTAGTTGTACAAGTAGGACAGTAGGAGTGTGTATCATGTTAGTGACAACCTCCCCAATGACACCTACTAATTATACATGGGCCAAGCAGTAAAGATACAGATAGTAATCTCCATATGTTTTTTTTTGCCAAACTTGCAGTAACTTGCACTATTTTGAGATCTCTGACATGGTAATTTGTGGTAGAGACAAAATACATTCCACTGTTGAAACACATACCCCACAGAACACCTTGACCTCAGTAAGAGGCGTCCGTCAAAACGTCTCAGGCTGGTTTGATCTGAGGTGGAACAGTAGTGAGCTACAGAAAGTTTGTCAAAACTGAGGAGCCTGTGGCAGTAAGCATTTGGCCTGCTGGAGTGCCTCTGGGCAAGACGCTGGCTCCGCTCAGCTCTGCACTTGCTGACCTGAGTCGCTGCAGAGAGCAAAGACTGAGAAGTGAAATTCTAAATAGACACACACTCGTTTTTGGATGCTCTTTGGTCAATCTTTACCTTACAGGTCTTTATAAGTGATCACACATCTCTGCCAGTTCCCTTAAATTCAATCGAGATGCAAAAATTTTCACACACTCATAAACTTTTCAGACATGAAGGTTTCGCATATGAACAACAACACAGAAATGTCCATTGTTCAGGTGAGGAGTGGAGCAGCAGATATTCCACTGCAGATATCACGTGTTTTTGTTTTCAGCACATGGACGCCAGTGTTGGCTCTTATCACCAAAAACGTTTTGGTATCCTGAGATATTTCTATTCTTTTTGTTATTTGCATTTTTCCATTTTGCGTGTTAGCAACTGATGACTCCTGCTGAGTTCTCACATCGGCTCCTTCAGACATTCTGCTGACTTTGTAGGGGACTGGCCACAGAGAGTCCTCAGAAACCCTGACGGCTCTGACTTAGACCTTTGCGTTCTCACATACTGTTTTTAACATTGCAAGAAAGAGATTTAAAAAAACGTGTTTAATGGGTTCTTCCCTGACCTCTTTCCACAAAGTTTCGTGGTAATCCGTTCAGTAATCTTGCTTATAAATAAACAAACAAACAAAGAAACACATGGTGAAAATATAACCTCCTCGGCGAAGACAATGATAAAGTTTAACTGCACTACATGAAAATTACAAACAGTTGTAAAGGTGAGTCACATTTCCTCATGACAATTATGTCATTAGAGTTTTAATATGCACATTTTGTGGCAGCATGACTTCAAAGGAGTCACAAGCATCTCTGGCCAAACTGCAGCTTCAACTCACGTGTCTGGGGGAGTTATTTCTAATATGATAAACGCATATGACAGACATGGGCAGTACAGTCATCGTAAAAATGTCCCTTTTCACATTTCACTTTGTACATGAATTGTTCGCAGCAGTTTTCACACATTTGCTCTGCATGTGCGAGAAAATCTTCACTTGTGAGGAATATGTTAATCCTGCTGCTGGTCTCTATTCTCTATTCTTCATGTGTTACTGATTTAAACTCAACAGTGCATCCAGTTTTATGAGAACACTGTGTTTTGAATGTAAAACCTTCTCTAAAGTGTTACGCAATAAATCAGTGGTATAGACTCAAAACAGAAAAAGGAACAGGGTTAGTATACCCGGTGGAGTCTAGCGATATCTGAGTTGTGGTTTATATGACGTAAAGGCTGGACCGTGAATGTCTTCGGAGGTGATCTCCATTTATTCTGAAAAACAAATCCTCCTCCAACAATAGAAAGGGTAGAGGTGAAGCAGGAGACCCACCCTTATAAGGAGAGGTCCCCCCCAAAAGTGGATGTAGGGTATACATGACTAACAAATGTTCCACATTGAAACTGCAGGCCCATAGACCTCCAGCAT